GGGGGGGGGGGGGGGGTGGCATCCCTGTGTTTCCTGGTATTTATTACCCTCAAATCCCTGTGTTCTCTCTGGATTAATAATGATAATCATACAAGATGTTTGGCTCCTCCTTCAAAATAATTTTAATGCAAATGAAGGGGAAAAAATAAGTGTACGATTGAACCAGGCTACATACAATAGGTGTGGACCTGTCAGTATGGCATATGGAAAAAGGGCACAAGTTTTCATACAGGCCATACAAGCTAAACAAGAAGAAAACTAGAAGCACTCTGAGAGTGCCAACTTCCGCCAAAGCAGAGAAGGAAACACATTTGCCGAATAAGTTCTGACGTGGTGAACATTTAAGCAGGCAGTATGTATGGGATTTCAATCTGGTGGAGTTCAATGCAAAAAAAAAACAAAGGTCAAATACTCGTCACCCAACGTTATTCATCCACAAACTGGTGTTGGATTAAGCTCCTAAGTTTTCATCAGTAAGATTCCATCGTGTAAAACGTGTTTTATCCCATTTAATGAGTTTGTAATGGTTTGACTATCTTTCCGAACTGCTGCTTCCTGGTACAAGCGGCTCAGCGTCTGAGCACTTTTAGCACAAACAAACACTCCCATGAACTTCTGACAAATCACACAATAAAGTTGTTATGTGGAGGGGGTGGTACCTGGTTGATCAGCTGTTCCCGCTGTTCGCTACCAGCTTCAGCTCGGCTACAGCTGGACCCTCCCCCGCTGTCAGTGTCTTCTCAGTTATTCCCGTAACGTGAAGAGAATCACTTTTTTTTTTCTATGTCTCCTGACAGCATGTGACATCACCAATACTAGTTGATAACAGAATAATCACAACTTTCCTGATGGTAGGCATCCTGGGAGGTGTAGTCCCAGCGACTTTGCGACTTCTACTTCCTGTTACAGKCATGCGTTTGACGTCATGACACTGTGTAGCCTGGCTGATTCGGTTAAATTAAAAGAAAAATTCCTGTATTCGCATCGTAATCCGGAACATCATCAGAATTTAAAGGTGTGTTCCTTGGGCCAGTACCCACATGTGATAAAAATTTTATGACAATCCGTCCACAAGTTTCTGAGTAATTTTGTCCACCGACAGACAGAACGACAGAACGACAGACAGACAGACAGACAGGCATACGCAACCGAAAACGTTACCTCCCCCCTTTGTGGAGGTAATAAGTAGGCAGTTGTAATTTTGATTCTTCACTCAGATAAATTTTTTTGTGTTTGTGTGGTTCTCATTGAATTATGAATGCAAGCACCATCGTTCTTCATTATAAACAGTCTGAAACATGCAGAGAAGGAGACATGATGTCACCCGCAGAAGTAAATATACGTAGATGCTATACATGTCAGCATGTGTGCATCCATTCTGAAGTACAATCAAAACCAATAAATTATTGTCTGACATGATTGTTCTGTTGAGTATTTACATCTGATCTAACTTCTTTCTGCCTACTCTGGTGAAAAATTGCACTTCTGGAACAGGAGCGACRTAAAATATAAAAACAAACTCAAGTATCAATTCCATTGTTTTCATATCGATGCAACTCCCATGTTGGTATCATATGCTGCTGTAGATTCTCAGTAATCCAGGTTATGGTACATTAAAAAAAGATGAAGCAACTGTTTGGTGGTTGAAGACATGGAGGTCCAAGCTTTAAATGGGTCCATGTTCTCCTGGGTTAAAAGTCTTGGCAGGTGCCTCCCGCTTCAAATGCCTGACTCCTTTATCCCTTTACACATTACGTTGGCATAGATTATATCAACGTTTGGATTGATCAGTGCACCCCTGCCCCACTGATGCAACAGTTAAAAGTCGTTTTCACAAACGTTAGATATGTATCTAATTACCTCCGCCAAGGGTGAGATAATGTTTTCGGTCACGTATGTCTGTCTGTTGGTCTGTCTGTGGACAACATTACWCAAAAACTTGTGGACGGATTGTCATGACATTTTTAACACATGTGGGTACTGGGCCAAGGAACACACCTTTAAATTTTGGTGATGTTCCGGATCACGATGTGGATACAGGATTTTTTTCTTCTTTTATCACTCTGAGATCAGCAAAGCTGTGATGCTTTCACAGGGCTTCTGTAAAAAAAACAGTGAGCTGGATTGGACAGCACGGATTTCAAACTTTATAAAAGTAATGTTAAAACCACATTTAATGATGAACAATTTTTACCATAATGTGCACATTTACAGAACGTTTTGTGACCAGGAAGTGAGTGACTGCACCATGAAACCTATTTTTCCCATTTCTTCAAACACACCACATTTCCGAAACAACCAATCAAAACAGTTTCTCGCTACTAGGCTTGTAAACAGAGAGCTGACGGG